CTGTGGTGCGTGTGCATGGGTATGTACTGGTGTTTGTCTCAATGTATCAGGTGACTGGGAATCCTCAGAACCTACAATGAGCTTATCCTGCATCCAACTATTGAATTGTTAAAAGAAAAAGAAGAGGAAGAAGAAGAAGAAGAAGAGGAAAAGAAGAAAAAAAAGCCTCCCACCTCATGTACTACTGTTCTAGGTTGTTGGTGTGCTGTCAGGCGTCCCCTTAATTATCAAAAACTAATATAATTTCGTTATATGTGTACTTGAAACTGTGAACGATTCAATAATTTGTCACTAATTAGCAGGTATCTTATGTAAAGAATCTAGAAAAATTGCGTCTCAAGTTGTGGATTAGGTGTCTGGGGCTACAAAATTATAGTTTGGAAAAAAATCTGTTGTACATGAAAGCGTAAGCAAAACGTTAATTAGTAGGCCTATCGGTGCCTTAAATTACATTGTTTAACTGAAATAATGTTTTATCCATAGCATCAATCATAATATGTGTACTCCCTCTTTTATACAAAACCAATTTTGAGGGTCCTCATGTCATTCAAGAATCCAAGCACCCTGTATTTTCCATAGACCCCAAGAAAAATCATGTCTTTATTTGTGGGTGTGGTGTCTAGGGTTACAAACATTTCTGTAAAACGTCTTAATTAGTAACCCCAAACATTTTCATGTCTCAAGTTGCATAATTTCAATTCGACTTGAAACACGTTATTCTTGATGCTTTTTTGGTGGATTTTTGGGCCAACTTTTGAGACCCTTACGGACCAAAGCTACTGTGCTACTGAAGACGACCATTTTCTTCAATGTTTGGTGATTTCTAATAGAATTGTACCCTCAAACCTTTTTTACTCAACATTATGGTTAAAGTCCACTTCACTCTCCAACTATATCTATTTCTCATGATCTCCTCTATCTATTTATCTTTGCACACACACACACACACACACACACACACACACACACACACACACACACACACACACACACACACACACACACACACATGCTCCTTATGCCATAAATAACCTTTAACAACACTGACCAAAGTGGTAGAGTTTTTCCTTGGGATAGATGGCCGCCGTGGCAACCCCCGACGCCCCCTCGATCAGGTAGCGCGTCCAGCTGTTGCCGGATCGCGGATACGACACCAGGAAAGTTTTAGTGATATTCAGAGCAAAGGAAACGTTGTACCTGGAAGAATGGTGAACAGGTGATGGCAAGTTAAACGTTTTATTTGTATATAAATTAACTGATTTTGTGAGACATTCTTTGGATTGAAACATTACCTGTTACAATTACTGTGTATACACTGAACATACATGCATTTCCATATTTGGCAATATACAAATGAAAAAAAAAACGAGAAAGATTTTAAAGCGATGTGTGCCTGCAGCGACTCTTTTTTTTCCTTGTTAAGCGGCACTTGACGTTTTTAGGAATATTTTCTGTTTTAGGATTGGGGATGAAAGGGAAGAACTCTATGGAAACGCTCGGAGCCATACACATAGACCTAACTTTACAAAGGAAAGAGATAAAGGAAGGTGGATTGACTCACATGGAGCAGGCAGGATCCGAGGGCCACAAGGGAACGTTGGGCATGCTGGGGTCCAACAACGGCCACCGCGCCTCGGGCAGTTGGCCGTTTCGTTCGTCTGGCATCGCTGTGGAACGTCCAAAATTCTCTCTCAAGATGCACGGATATTCTTTTTTGGCGAAACTGGAATTAGATCTTTTGGGGGGTACACTTTATTGTGAAAACACGAGGGGGAGGGTTTCATTTGCTGTTTGTTTTCTGTGTATCTGCCAATATTTATCGTCCGTGTGTATCCCCCACTAGTCCAAATGAAGAACTGTACTGATTTGCCCTCTACTTTGCAATCTATATATGCTTCTTTGTACTTACATTATGCTTAAATAGTTTAAATGTGGACATGAGAAATTTTACAAAAAAAAAAAAATGCCTCAAGTTCTAAGGACATTGCTCAGGCTTTGCCAAGGGATTAGCGAATCCCTCTCTGTTTATGGTCAAATGCTGATGCAAGAATTAATTACTATGTAAAATCAAAGCAGAGGTTACGGAGCTGCGTATGTTCTTGTATTTATAGATCGACTTTATTATTTGTTTTGTCTTTACAAGCTCGCAGTTATGTTATACTCTGTTGTTCAGAGCATTTTGCTTCGTCAATGCAGTACAGTTAAAGGAACCTCTTCTTTTATAAAGTAATATGGATATGGATGTTATGAATGAAAAGTATTTTGTTGTTTGTTTGTTTGTTTGATTAAAGAAAGTTTCTATGTATGGGCCATTATGTTATGTTTTATAAGATTTTTTTTATGTTTAACAGGCAGGTGTCAAGTATCTGTTAATGGTTCTATCAGTGACTTCATCAGTCATTCCGACATGTTCTCTTCCCAAAAGGACACCTCTAAGGTGTGCATTTTTTTCTGTCAATACATGCATAAAGCTTTATTTCCGCCGTCAAGGAACTGTCGT